AACAGATGCGTGACCATATCATACCAAATCTAAAACTTATAAAAAATTGGAGGCACTCAAGTTAATCAAGTTGCCTCTCTTTAAAATCAAGATAACTGATAACTGACATCTACAAAGTTAAGTATCGGTTTAATAGCCATTGTGCTGGACCAGACTAATTGTAAGTTAATGTCATTAAATTTTTTGAGAAAAAACAAATCTCAATCTCAATTAATCAATCTCAATCTCGTCTGCTTTCAAATTGATCAGGTTTTCTTTTAAATATGGATCTTTACTTTCCAGTAACTCTAAAACTTATTCAGAAAGTAAGTAAAATCTTGTTAGTGTGTATGTTAATCAGAAATTGAGTAAAATGCACCTTTCGACAACCGTACTTCAGTATGTAAAAGCAATCGTTGGCAATCTTGATCATTTTCATCGCACAACTGTGCAAATAAACGCGTATTCAATGCATTGCTTCTTATTTTGTTAACTGCATTAATCACAAGTTTAAGCGATTGGTGCAATCTATCACTCAAATTTTTCGCTACTAGGTGTTGTCGGTGGATGAAATAGTGAATTGCCAAATTTACCTTCAGATAATTTTTTTAAGATGGCTTATAAACCCACGATAACGCCCGACGATGGCAGGAGTTCCATCTGTTGCCACCGAAATATCGTTTGTGAATGGAATCGATTTTTCCTTAAAAAAACACTCAGGACATTAAATATTAAATCACAAGTGTCCGTCTCCAAAGTTTTCGCGAATAGTAAGTAGCTCTTCATGAATTTCTCTGTCCATAACAAATCGAACATAAATAAACATTATAAAAATTAATAATTAACCTAAAAATATTAAATAAACTACTAACTAAATCGAACATAATATTACGCCAATAGTAATGCTTCGTCACCAGGTAAAGTTGTTTCGTCCAGTTGCATAGAAAAATGAGTTGTTTACAGATTATTACACAAGAAGTTTTCATCAATACGTCTTTGTACTTGTGTTGTTACTCAAAGGAATTCTTTTAATTCTGTTCTGCCAGAATCTCCATTTGACATACAAATGGAGAATCTGGCAGAACAGTTTTTAAAACCTTAATTTAAAAAAGGTAAAATTAACTGTTCTCCAATGGTGTGCGGTTTTCCAGATTGCGCTATAAGTAATGAGATATTGTATGATGCCCGCAAGCCATCATCATTACTTTCAGATGTTAGCGTGATGTCAGATGTTGTTTAGCGAACATACTGTACACGATGGGTCTCTTTTAATATTTTTCCTTCAATCCTTTTCAGTGCTTGATAATATTGCAAATCGAAGGATGACACCTTCTTAGATGAGCTTCGATGGTTTCATAAAGTCATTCTCAACTTTTGCTTTCAACTTTGTTGCATAAAAGGCATCTGGGCAATCGCTTGTCTGCCTTTGATGGTATAAAACCAAATTTTAAATAATCAACACTATACTGTCGACATTTCTTCTTAGATTCAGCCATGTTTGGTATCAGTTACCTGCCATTAAATTAAAAGGTCTTACTCGACAAGATATGGCTATTTTAACAAAATAGGATAACCTTATTAATAATTGCAATGAAATAAACAAAGTACCGATGACAAACTGATTCTAACAATTAAAAGCAATAAATCGCTTGATTTAATGTAATGTAAAACAAAAAATAAATATAAAAATAAAAAAATAAATTAAATATATTTTTTAAAACCTTTTAAAAAAAATATATTTTGATATCAAAACTCCGCGTTTTTAATTATTTATTTATTACTTTGATGCACATTACGGGTACTTAAAGACGCGTACAATTTATGAAATATATATTTAATAAAGTCATTTAGCACTAGGAACCTGAAATATTTACAATCATGCAGGTCAATCACAATATATAGTATCTCTCCTTTAGTGAACCACCACACAGTCGGCATTTTTTTAACTAATAAAGTAGGAACAAAAAGTTCAACCTTTCTCGTCTTTCTGTTTTTTTATGGAAGTATCTAATAATCACTCTGTTCAGTATTTAATTTTTTATACGTACCTACCACACGCAAACATTACAAATATACTTATTACAACAAGTAAAAGTATGTATAACAAATAGGCAGGTAAATACTTACTTTTTCCGACGACTTGGGATTCGTATTTATATTGGTGAAAAATCAAACAAAGTTCATACAAAGCTGCAAGCACACACACCACAAGTCGTATTTCGTCCCTTTGCACGTTCTGAACAAGCGTTGCGGACGATGGCGGCGGCAGCGGCGGCGCTCTACGAGTACAAGTCTCGACACGTTTTACTGAATATGGAATATGCAAGTTTTTACAAGTAACAATCACTGAGCTTCTTAAAATATTATCTGTCTACATTGATAGGTGCAGTCAAGCCATTATTTTAGTTCTTCACTATCGAAAGCAGATAAATTTTCGTGGAAACCCGCTTACGAATTGTAAACCCCCAATTTTTTGTCACGCCAACATAGACCCTGTCGAGTCTCCTGTGGACCCCTGGGGTCTACCTGGACCACTTTGGGAACTAAGGTACTAGACAAAACCTATGCTGTAGTTAAGTTTCTAACATACGCCGTTTTAGATCTGTGTCTACGATAGTCAATAAAGAAATGTTTCAATAGGATATATCTCTACAATATACACGTATTGTGTACTCTTTCTTACTTTTGCTTCTAACACCTCCGAGTCCCACTTACCTGAATTCAAGACTAACTAAACATTTAAAGAAAAATGACAGCTAAAACATCTCAAAAGTAGGTTAAAACCTCAAATGAGATCAAATCAACAGTAGTAAGTTAATTAACGACACAAATAGCGTTCTCATTAACTAATATCTATTTTGTAGTCACAATACAATTACTGGATAACACCATCTCATCATGATCTTTGCGATAACGTCTAACGCTTGCGATAGTTCCGATAGTATCAACACTGATCGGCCATTCATTTGTCGGTTCACTTTCATTTTGGATCCATTAGTTTCAATTACGTTAATATTAGCTTAGTTCGTTTTATTTGTTAAACGATTTGTGTCAAGACAGGTTGAGAAACCATTATGTGTATTTGCTGTACAAGTTCTGAGAACAATGACTTTAATTAAGCACATATTATAAGACGATTGATTAGCGATTTCTTTATAATTAACACCTTACAATTATACATTTACAAATTGTGTTTGTGATATCTTTTGCATTTGAATCCATCAGAAGGTGGAGGCATGTTAGAAGTCTACAAAAAATGAAATTATTTAGATCACAAGTTTTAGAAAAAAAAATGTAATTTTAAATGTGTTCCAGAATCTATCTGAATATTTCCCCCCAAGAGTTTATATTTTGGGTACAAAGCTAACCTGGTGGCGAACCGTGATTGCTACTGATCTAACAATAAAAAATCTTGAATAGTCAGTACGGAACAAAGTGTCATACATATCACTTATAACTTAGAGTATCAAGTACCTGTAATTCTAGCGTTAGAAAGTTATTATCGAAAATGGTACATAGGAAAGGAATAGTACAGAAATTAAAATTGTAGCTAAACTACGAGGCACAGCTAGTAACGATGATTAATAACATTATAACCTAATAAGGGTTATAATGACAGAGTCAGAGTAATATATGTAGATTAGTTTTATTACTATACCCTGATCTCTGGAACCAGTTAGAAAATAGATCAGATACTGAAAAAATATTTGGATTGATATACGAACACTATAAATAATGGAGAGAGCGGCGTGATTTGTAGATTTGTGGTCACTTAATGCATGCATTACCGATCGAAAGTAATTTTGGCATAGATTCTAAGAACACACGTGTGCCTCACTAACAAAAAATGTACTCAAAAAAATTGTATTCAGAGATTTGCGAACACTGAAAACTGACGGGTTGAAAATGAAATTCAATAAAAAATGAAGTAGCCTTAACCAGGAAAAATTCAGTAACTATTAACTCAAAGGGTTTAAATTCAGTTTAAAAAATAAATTGGTTTACGAAGAGTTTGTGTGTGTATTTCAAATATTAATTCTTTCATAGTAAGTAAATACAACTTAGTGAGGTTTTATATAAATAAATATTATATTTTATTAATATTACAAAATAGTTACAGATGAGTATAAATCTACCAGAAAAAGTACATCGCACGATACGTCGCAAGTAAACCTACAGGGAATATAACATCTGGACAAAATTAAACCTACTAAAAGTTCTCGTACTGCATAGAACTAGAGAGGGAACTTATCATTCAGTATTGTCCCAAGATATTCGCTGTATTGGAGTTACATCACATTCCGTTCCTGTAAAGTGATGAAAACGAAGAAATTTGAAATGTTTTTTCATGGAGAACGATAAAACATTCACTTGAATAGCAATGAGCTAATCATTGATGCTACGAAGTCTTAAAAAAAGTCTTAATAGTATCTTTTCTCATTATTAGGCAACCATTGCTCATAAATATTGAAATTGGTTGGGCTATATACATACGTATATAGCACCAATTTAAAAAAAAAATAATAATACAACAAAGTAAAAAAATTATATCAGAAAAATTATATTGCGTAATTAAAAGCTTGTATATACATACATATAGTATAAACCTAATTAATACTATACTTTCGTTATGAAAAAAATATCTAAAATTGCATTGTTACGTTTAAGTTACATAAAGTATTAATTAAATACAAAAGGTCAACTACCAAAAAAATAAAATGTCTGAGAGCATAACATCCAAACTAGGAAATGACTAACTCGAGCATTCAATTATCCATAGAAACACACAGAACAATAAAATAGCTTAGGCTAATTCAGTAGTCCCTGTTAAAAAAATAATATACCATGCAAAATGAGCAGTGCTTAACATTAAAATATTATTGTTTCAAGGAATAAATAAACTAAATTTGAGCTTGGTATCTGAGAGAAGTGAATAAGCACAATATGAGCACAAGGCAATGGTAACGATGCTGAAAATGAGACTACAAAACCAGATGCAACCTGGTTCAACACATAGAGGTCTAGTGTCCACAGGAACGTCCTGTGAACGTTGTAGCATTTTCGGCATTCAAATTCTGCAAAGAAAAAGGGAAACTGTGAAGATATTAATGTAGGTTGAAAAGTTCTGGTCTAGTAACGTGATATCAAAGTTACTGTTTTAAGAGTATAATTGTAAAGTAGGGTTTTTTATATCGCTTTAGCCTGTCAGTAAGTATGCAAATGTGAACAAGTTTATACGTTAGAACAAGTTTGTAAGTTAGAACAAGAAAATGTTTTATGTGCTAAATTCAAAAAACATTTTCTTTAGATAATTTTTGTTTCGGCACTGTTTCTGCAAAATGAACGAAATTGTAAATCGTGCGATCAGTCTCTCTTGAAAAAAAGGTCATGTGTGTGTCGAAGCATACGCAGTATTGAGTTCCGTAGCTTATTACTATCCATTGTTAATAAGTAACTAATTAGCCTAAACGACATTTTTCTAAGAAATTTGTATTCTGAATTCAGAAAAGAGTTTACAAATTTTATGTATAGAATGGAGGCACTTGAGTCTAAGAAAAAGAAACATTACGTAATATATCATCTTCATCATCATCAATAGCCTTTATAATAGTCCACTGCTAGACATAGGTCTCTCCTTAAAAGGAGGTTTTGGCTTACTATACCACGATGGCCAGACGAGTTGCAGGAAGGATAAGTTTCTTTTTGCTGTTCTGTTGTCCTGGGTAGTTCACTCCCCTAGCTCTTTCGACATCTACGCGATAAATAGGGGTGGTGACACTCCGTATACTTAGTCCATCACCCACGCACTACCTACCTACTGTAAATGTAGCAAATTATAGAGAGGTAAACGGGTGTTAATAGCGACATAATTGTGTCAATGGGTGTCAGGTCAAGTGTTAAACCTTTGTGTGTGTATGTGTCCAAAGTGTTTCCATATGGGGTACATATGTACCTATATATCTACAATATGTTCACATACAAATGTACTTTTTATGAAACAACTTGATTAATTAATTATGTATTAGTTCATTGTTATGTTTGCAATTGTATGTAAATATTGTAAATAATTTATAGACACTAATAAAATCAAATTAAATGAGTTTCACCATTACTATTACATTTTTTTCTGTTTATAATATAGAATTTAAGTATATCTACGTTAAACATACATGTGCCGTTGTAAAAACACTTTCTTTGGCGCTTAAGCGCTCAAATCAACGCTCTAGCAGTTTCCAAATGCTCGAGTCGCCAGTTTTTAGATCGCTCGAATAGCGCCTTGTTCATTGCCAACAAGTTAAAGTAAGTATAATCTTACGAGTCGTTGTGGATCGGCCTCTAAAGACGTATACTGACCAGATCTGCAGTATACTGAAGTAGAGCCTCTTTAAAAGCACATGTAACCGGTAGGAGTGCTTGTGCCTCTTTCACGTTCCGGAAGCGTGGTGACGTGACCGACGCTTGACTTGTTCCTGAACATGAGCGTAGAATAAAGGCAATTATTTTTTTAATAATTTGGGGGAAAGGTTCAGTCGGTGTACCTGGTGGTAAGCGACAACCTCCACCCATATACACCAGCAACTCAGAGTCACAAGTGCGTTGTCTCCCTCTGAGTGCCCTCCCCCCTGAATTAAGGAGAAGGGTTGATGATGTTACGATGTAAGTATGAAAGTTAGTTGATTTCCAATGCATGCTTGATGACGAATCGGTAAATAATAGAACAGCCGAGTGAACTCAGAATAGATCCCATTTGAATATAATGCATAGATGACAATTAAATAACATAACCCATAATATTACTGGTTTTACATTACTTACAAACGATAGCTAAGCCTCTCTGTAACAGGTTTATGCGTGTCGTTAAATAAAAAGAATACGAATGATAAAAAATTTACTTACACGAAAATGTTGTTCTGATAAGACAGAATAAAATAACTCTTAACCTTGCAGAAGCCAAGTACCGTCAGCCATATATCTAAAAATGAAATAAAAAATTTATATTGATACTAAGATATTCCTCGAAAGAACCATGAACATGAGTATTTGTGGTCAGTGGTCCATTCAGAATGGCCGCTAGGATATAGATATCTCTCGTAGTTCACGCTTATAAACTGCTGTATTCTCATATTAAAAATATTGTAAACGGGTCCTTAAAGTACATGGGCCTTTATCTTCTGAGACTGGAACTAGGACTGCATATTTTAAGCTTAATAATGTAATGTAGTATGTAATGCGTAGTAATGTGTAAAAATAACGTAAACCAATTCTCCCAAAAATGGTTAAAGCTTTTTAATTTAATTTAATTTGCATTCAGTGACTTGTAGAATTTCTTTTTGATCTTAGTGAAAAGGTTGAGTTACAGGGTAAACAAATACCAGCTTGTGGTGAGTGCAGAAATAACTATTCGAAACCGCAACTAATCGTCGTGCCCCTGGGTTTGAATAATGACCTTGACTTCTCACTAAGAATAATACAAAGAACAAGTTGTGCTTAAAGTTTACAGTATCTGAAAAGTCTGGAAACCCATAAGTTAAGACATAATATTTTTTTATTATTATTAAACATATATTTATATTTTTTAAATTCTTAGGCGTTTAAATGTACTTACACAAAAAAGCACGTCTAAGGTTTCAAAACTTGTTTAATCATTAACTCTTTAATAAAAATAAATTATTTAAATTGAGGTAATAATATGTTTTAATTCTGTATTTTAAAACCACAATAGCAGGTTTTAAAATAAAAATATAAAATGTCAAATGATTATTACGTTAATTTTAACTTATATGCTACATTATACTGTCCTGTCCCTGTAGTCTGAACAAATCGAACAGATATTTACTTTTACATAACTAATATCATTTGACTTATTCATTCGAAAATTTGAGTTTGAATTTACATCACTACATCTCTAGCAATGTCAAATACCAAAACGTCATCGAACTAACGCTATGTCAATAGCAAGCTCACTAACGGCCCAATGCCGTTTTTTAGCCAATTGATAGCATATCAGTCTGTATATATTACTGTATATAGTACAATTACCTTTTTTTGTAGTCAAAGCGTGGGTTATATTTAACGTAATTTATTTTTGCTATGTACACGAACCAGCAAAAAAATGCCATTAACAGTACAGCAAACGCACCAAACTCCAGATACCAAAGTATGTTTGTGAATGATACATGCATTTTTTAAATATATAGTTACTAAAAACTAATTATTTTACTATATTTTGGTTTTATTCGAAAATGTTGTTTTTTTTTTCTTGTTAAATATTGAAGACAACGACAGCTCATTCTCAGAATAAGTCACAAACTACCAAAGAGCATTTTCTCTTTAAGTTTATACAGTTTTTCATAGACAAGAAAAAATATTAGTAAAACTCTTTTTCGGTTTTTTCAATCTGTGTCACCAGAAACTTAACTTACAAATAATGACCCAATGTTTTTAGGATCCAAAATATTTGTTTCGGAGTTTGGATGTTTTCTATGTATAATATGCATGTATTTACAAAAAAAAAAGTATTTAAGTATTCTATCAATAAATCTAGCTTTGATAGTACAAGCTCTGCTTAGTTTGAAATTAGATGGCGTCGTGTCAGGTATTTGAAATATTATTATAATATAATTATTAATATAAAATAATTGCTAAATTGTATTTAAAAAAACACAAAAATGGGCAGAAGTCATGTCTTCTCAATTTTATAGAAGTTCGGCAAACTTGTTTAAAATCAAGACTTTTTGGTGGCAAGTTAGTTACTTAGTTCCGGTAACACAACTGGTTCAGTATGTAGTCCAGTCATTATAGTAAGTTCACCTCGGAATTCGAGATACCCAGCTGTAAGTCTGTAAATACTTGTATATTGACACCCTAAAAGTTGTCTCAAAACCTACATATGGTAGGGTGTAAGCAACTATTAAATTTCAAGGTCAAAAGTCACAAAAATCGGCTTATTGCGCTTTTTTTCGAAATATCTCATTTCCTATGGGCTTCTGCTATTTGTATTCAGTATCAATATTGTAGAATACAAAATTCTCTACAAATTTTGTTTAAATTTTTTTTATACGGTGAACCGTTTTCGAGATAGAGGGCGGAGAGCGCGCGGTCACAGCATCACTTCAGGTCAACCGGTGCCTCCGTCGAAAACGCGCCATATATAGTTGATGAACTATCGATAAATCAATGATTATAAATAAAAATTGTTCGGCCCAGAGATTATTAGAGAGTGGAACTCAAACCTTATTGGCAGTCTATAATGCTCCGAAATCTGTGAAAAGTCTCGAACATCTTCGTTATATGCATTACGTCAAGTCTACAAAACTCAATAAACCTGTGTAGCTTTCAAATATTCCACCAACAAGTGCAGCTGCTCATCAACATTTTAACCGTGTATATTATCAAGTTCAAACTTGGTTAGGACGTGATTTGGAACCCCAGGTATGGGGTTGGATAATGCGAAATGATTTTCTGGAGCCTATCATGACAATTTTACCACCTGCTCCAGAAGATTTGCTAAATACAATTTTCTGCAACTGCAAGAGTGGTTGTGGTTCGCGATGCGGATGCAGGAAAGCGGGCTTGCAATGCTCTTTAGCTTGTGGCCAATGTAATGGGCAAGCTTGTCTTAATGCTCTACCATATCAGAGCGACATTAACGAAGATGGAACCTTTGACCCAGAAATCATGGAAGAACTTGAGACAAATGTCGTGGAAGACGATAATGAAGACCAGTTTGAAATTTACCAGCAGCCAGAAGACGACGATGAAGAGGAAGATGATTAAAATTATAAATTGTAGTTTTTGTAACCTTTATTCCATTTTTTTACTTTCAATAAAAATAAATGTATTCAATGATATTTTTTAATAAAAAGATTAATTCATAATTTATATGTTTTTTTTTTCATCATGTAAGAAGTTATTAATATTAATAAGGTTAAAAATCAAAAATAATTCCTATATTTTCATTAACAATTCTGCAATTACATGGGCAGGTAAGTGTTGTTAAATAAATTAATACTGAATAAAAAGTGGATAAGTTAGGAAAAAAATGATAAAATATAATATAATAGTTAATAAAAATTGACAAATATTTATAATCATTGATTTATTGATAGTTCATCAACTATATATGGCGCGTTTTCGACCGGAGGCACCGGTTAACTTGAAGTGATGCTGTGACCGCGCGCTCTCCGCCCTCTATCTCGAAAACGGTTCACCGTATAAAAAATTTTTTTAAACAAAATTTGTAGAGAATTTTGTATTCTACAATATTGATAATGAATACAAATAGCAGAAACCCATAGGAAATGAGATATTTCGAAAAAAAGCGCAATAAACCGATTTTTGTGACTTTTGACCTTGAAAGTTAATAGTTGCTTACACCCTACCATATGTAGGTTTTGACACAACTTTTAGGGTGTCAATATACAAGTATTTACAGACTTACAGCTGGGTATCTCGAATTCCGAGATTCTTACCTAATTTAAGCTTAAATTACTGGACTAATGGTCGTTTAAAACGCCTGATGACTTGAGCATTGCTCCGTCAGATGTTTAGTAGGCTCTTTGCAAAGTTCGCGATATCGATCTCACAAATTTATAAATATGCATATAGCATAAATTACAATACAAAAATATAAACAGGAATTGTTACTTAAGGCAATCTTATATCTGATGTCTGATGGTGATGCAAGCTAATCTGCATAATAGTGACACACAAGACATCTTTTCAGTTTGGGTATCATTATTCCGACGTGGTATTTTATTATTTACAATGGTTTAGATACATATATGTGTTTCATTTATACAAATACTACGATAACTAAACAAGTACTAAGTCTGCAAGGATACTTAATTATCTGATAAAAATAAGAAACAAAATTTTAAATTACAAAAAACAAGTAACTGACATAATATCTTAGGCAGCAAGCTTGTGAGGATGTTCACGATACAATAGGTGTCTTTTGAGGTTTATCCAAAACTTTATTTGTGGTTTGCATAAAACTCTGATTAAGAAATTGTATAACTATGGTATCAATGAAACGGTAGGTACTGATTTTCTTACTTCTTAAAGAGTATTTATGACAACCTATCTTCAATCACTGTAGCAAAAATGAGGTTCATTTTTATTTTAATGTAACTTTAATATCATTAGATGTATATTTATTATTGTGAAGAACAACCACGAGATAACGCTATCTGGTGCTTGCATTTGATTACTTACTCTCATTTAGAGAAAACGTATTACTAGAAATTTTAGCAATGTGATAAATACTAATTTGACTCTTCTACTGTTGGTAAATGGCACTAATGTTCTATTCAAGGAAAGGGCTGTCCGAACACTTCAGAACTTAGATAATCGCGGTTGACTAAAGCAGCAATTGAAATAATAATAATATTTCGGACATTTTGACACACAACGCCATCTAGTTTCAAACTAAGCAGAACTTGTAATACAAGAGCTAGATTGACTGATAGAATACTTAAATACTTATTTTTTGTAAATACATACATATTATACATAGAAAGCAAAACTTCAAAACAAATATTTACAGATCATACAAAGATTTGGTCTGAATAAATAACCTAATATCGGTGGCACGTCAATATATTTTTAAAAACCTAGTTAAACATCATGAAAACAAAGATCGGTCTAGAAAAAAATTGTTACTTTTTTAAATCAATGTAACCTGTTAAAACACACGTGACAAACGTAAACTTGTTTTACTTGCGTCCAGGCTCCAAAAAAATTAAAGTTATTTCAAGGTCAATTTATACTATTTTATGATAAAATCCTAATACAATATATGTATATGTTGAGTTATAGGTTATAAAAAGAATAAGATCACTTAGAGTAAAATTGCTTTAGATTCTCAGGCTAAATTTAACAGTTAATAGCAATGTAATGTGAGCTAATATGTTTATTGTTTCCCATCTTTTAGATTAAAAAAAAAACCTTATAATAGTAGTGTTTAGTTTATTTATTTACGATATTAGTAAAATAATTTCGTATTCTCGAACAGGCATCAGAATGGCAAAGGGAGGTTTATCTAATCTTTGTAGACTTCGCAAACGCCTTCGATACGCTGAAATGGACAAGTATATGATCTCGGCTCTCCGACATTCGTGTCTCACCAAAAATCCTTTTCTCAACCCACTAAAGGCCATCTCCAGGATAAATTACTTAGAGTTACACACGATGGCCTCATCTCCGAAGACATTGAAATACATGTATGTGTGGATGTGAGATACAAGACTGCTTGCGTTCACCTCTTCTTTAGTACATTAAATCAAGTAAATCAATTAATATCGCACAACAAAAGCGTTGATTTCTTTTTAAAAGGCTCAACTAGTTAAAATCACGGTTATAAATATACACAGGCAGAAACTTGTATGATACAGTTGACAAAGTAATGCATCAATTAATATGGTGATTTTATTTATTTATAACTTTATGCACATTTATACGTCGGTGGACTGAATGCCCAAGGCATTCTCTCCCAGTCAACCTTTAGGTAGAGTAGAAATCTTGAGTGGTAGGCGCATATAGATTATAACACTAATCACTAAGATATACACTACACAAAATACACACTATACACATATATACACACACACATATACATACATATACATATATAAATGCACATATTGTAGCCGCTTTTCTTGTCAGGCGGACTACTCACCGGCTTACCTAGTGGAGAGATTCACGAGATTACCTCAGGGCGCCTTGTAGAAAACAGAAGTGTGTGCATGTGGGAAACCTAAGGGACACCTTAGAGAAAGAGAACTTACACCTCAGCCATACATACATGTATATTTTCAAACAAATCAAAGTTACAATAAAAAAATAAATAAATTCGTGGGTATATAAAAAACCTATAAATGCGACGCGGGCAATAGGTGTCGCTGTTTCCAACTCCATACGCAATACTCATGTAATAAAAAAAATAACTGTTACAATATATATAAATACACATACACAAACTATACATATATTTATGCATCTACACACATACAGACATATATTCGCATTATATGCTGCACTATCGATTCGATGATTCTGCCGTCTCATTAAGTAAAAGGTTGCGTACTTTCTTTTTAAATACGGAGCGGTTTGTGGACATCCCGACTTCAACCTTGAACGAAGAACGAAGAGTTCACGAAGTCGGATTTGTGAGAGGGGGTGA